CGCGACAATATTTACTTTTTTATACTTAAACGGCTGGGTGATTTGGATGAAATCTAATAAACAGCTAAGCATGGAGATACATACAGACTTCTGTGTGTTACCTAGGAAGCCCAGCGAGCGTAAGTCACTAATACTTAATATTTATTGAGATTTTAAAACTTAAATATGTAAAATATCTTTAGCGCAAGAAATGCGGTTTTACTTAAATGAAGTCTTAATATTCCATTTAATTACAAACAAGGGAGCCTTATAATGTAATACCGAAAAGAAAATTTTGATAGTATCTCCGCAATTTAGCCTGCGAAGGATTAATTTTTCCAACTTAATTTTTGCTTTTATTTGTATAGCTTTTACTGTATTAAAGAAAACTAATTATACCCAAGAAATTAATAATATTCTGCCAGAGTAGAAGTGAAAGATAAATTTTCTTAATAGATTTTTTCTTTTTACTTAAAAATAAGACTAGAGCCAATTACAAAAAAATTAAACACGATTAATTTATTTGGCATAATGGAATATTATGATTAAAATACACAATTATCAATTGGTTTTTCAACTCCATGGCATTAGTTAAATAATATATTACGAAAAATTACAATATCAGGTATCAGCTGAAGTTTTGAAGTAAATAGTCGCTATTTTTATTCTATACTAGGAAAACCAAAACAAACCTATCTCACAGGAACCGTACATTTTTCCGGGATAAAAGTAGTCTATGTGTTATTCCAGACTATAATATATCTCTGTGCCAAATTTCATCCAGATCCGTTCAGCCGTTCTGGCGTGAAAGAGTAACAAACATCCATACTCACAAACTTTCATATTTATAATATTAATACGAATTTTCGACTCGCATATAGAATTCATAGCTCTCAAGCCAAGCTAGTAAAACTAGTTGTATGAAACTCGGCGTCACAGTGTCTGGTAACTGGAAGACACTTTATTGATAATGTAACTCGACATAGAAAGAAGCTATTTAATTACGTCGAGTAGTATTGATCGAACTTTCTTATGTTTGCTTGGACGCGATATAGTCCATATAATTATACATATACTAATAGTATATCCTTTACAATTAAGGTTATTGCTTGATCAATAAATTTAGGTAGCACGTAGGTCGTATAATAGTGATATATATTTTTTTGGTTTTACTGTCTTTTTTTAACTGCCTCGGTGGTGTAGAGGCTAGCATGTACGGCTGCACACCCTGAGGTCCTGAGTTCAAGTCCCGGGTCGGGCCAAGGTTACTTTTTGAGTCTTTCTGTATAGTAAGCCTCAGTAACAGCCCGGAGTTGGGAAGTTGGCGGTGTTTCACCCCCGTGCCTCGGAGAACAAGTAAAGTTGTCGGTCTTGCGCATTAACTCTCACCGATCGTGTCGAGTAGTCGTTCCACCGGAGTATGAGAGTGATAGGAATAGAAAGTGCAATTGTGTCTCCGCACACACGCGCTGCACTATAATATCTCCTGCGCAGTTGACTAGTCTCAATGAGATTGGCCGCCGTGGCCGGAATTGGTCAGGCGGACATTATTATTATCACTATATTTTTTCTAACATAATAATTATAATACTTATTGTAGTATGAAATATTACATTTACCCACTTAATTTAGTAATAAATATTGTTTAGTAAAGAGTTCTCAAAATCATACGATATGTCATAGTAGGTACGGTACATCTTCGATATGTCGTTGAACTCTAAAAACACCTACGTAGCATAAGTTAGCGTTTGAGTTATTTTTTAACGTTCAATTAACGAACTTCTAAGTGGAATTCAATCTTCATTATCTCTTCTTAATGAACTTGAAAATTAAGACTTTGTACTACTTTTATTATTTGTATAAGAAATAGAAAGAAAATAACATAATTTTTTTATCGACTTTAATAAACTAATTGATCTGAATGGAATTAAAACATCATTTATAACACACAATTTAATAAAAGAATATATATAACTAGTGGCTCACCCTCGCTTCGCTCGAGTTCGACCCTAGGTACATTTTAACGGTTGGTATTGAGTAGATAGACTATATAATATATACATATACACACATAGCTACGATGAGTTTTTGTGGGTTGTATTATAACGTATTTTCACAGTTCAATTTATAGTCAACAAAGAAACAAACAAACAAACACACTTACACATTTATAATATAAGTTTGCATGATCTGCTTATGTACGTCAATTTTAAAGGTAAATTATTAAAACAAATCAAGAATTATAGAGTTTACTTATAATACTAAAACTCACATGTCTCACTTAAAACCAAATTACACGTACAAGTATTCACTGTCCATCACAAGCCTAAATAAATGACGTATTATTTCACACCCCGTCGACAATAAAACATTGATGAGTTCCAAGATCGAATTGGGTATATAAGACATTTTACTTGAAATTTTATATATACCTAATTTAAAAATGTAACAATACAATTAATATTTAAATAGGCCTTTAATGATACGCACTGAAGAAATTTTGGAAATAAAGCTGTATGTTTCAGACACCTATAGCGGGATTGCTCAAATTCAACGCCGGCTAACGCAGTGAACTATGCACGGAACGGGGACAGAATGTGGACAATTTCACAAAAGCCCACTGAGAGAGACATTTCGCCATGATAGGCGTAAAGGAGGCTAATAAAACTGTACGCAAAGGTGGCGAAACCAAATGCGGTGAGGCGACAATAACATATGCCAGCTGTGGCTTTATTGTTGCTAATATGACGTACCACAGGGAAAAGATATTGTGTGTTGATGACTTCAACATTACATATACTTTTGTTAACATTATTTTAGATATTTTTTATTTAATAAAAGGTATTTTGCTATTTCATATAAATTGGTATATAATTAAAATATTATTAAGGAAGATTAATTTTATGCGGGCGAAAATAAAGAGCTTAAAATAAGTGTTTTTAGCGTAAACATGTTTAGACGTCAGATTTATGTTTTCTGGATCCATCTGCCGTGCCGTCTCGCATAATATTGCGGTCGGACTTGAAAAATAATAAAGGCAGAGATAAGGTTTTCGTCTGCTCCAAAAGAAACGTTGAAATTTACTTGGGACAATTTTATTTTTCATTTTCCACAATACAAATATGACGGAGAGCGTACAATTGGTGAGTTATATGAGTATGGAGTTTCATCTAGATTCATAACATGAATATTTAATATGACGTAACATGTTATATTAAGATACTACAACTTTAAAATTGATTTCTCAATTCATAAATTCATAGCGCAAATTCTTTAAGTGGCTAGTGCACATAAAAATTTTACTAACTTCCTTATAATATTTAGAATTTTAATTACATACATAACATACTTACTTGTTAATACATAAAACATAATAAATAATTTATATTTATAATATGCGTGTATTTAAAGGTATATATGTGTCTAAACTATGTATAACTATTTGGTATCCATAACACAAGCCTCATAGCTTACCATGGAACTAGATGGTGCTATGTGTTAATGTCCCAACATAAAACATTCTAAAAGTATTAAAAGGAGGTTCGTACCTATGTACGAGTAGGTTATGTAATCTATATAAATAAACATTAATCACCGAAATGTATGTATGCACATAACTTCGGATGGACTGCACCAAATTGAATAATTCTTTTTTTTTGTGTTTGTTATTGTCAGGAAGTTTTGTATAGACGAAAATAAAAATAAATTTTTTTACAAAAACAAGTGTTTTTTTTTTAAATCTCATGATATGAAAAGTGAGTGAGTGAAATAGTTTCTATCCCGAAATTCATCCCTTAAGGTGGTGAGAATGAGGATGAAAGTGTGTATGGGGGATTCGCTAGTTTTATAATATAGCTGAATTCACTTATTAATTATATTTCACACTATTGTTATATACGCGATAGTTTATGTTTGTGTCAGTGTGTGTATGTTTTTTATCCTTCACGCTGAAACATCTGGACTGATAGGGATAAAATTCAGTACACAGATGGACTATGACCCTGAATAGCACATAGGCATACTATTAAGGACGCACTCGAGCGGAACGAAGATAAGGCGCTAGTGCATATTATTATAAACGTAAAATTTGAATAATTATAAAATATACAAAGCATATCCGGCTAGATTGGTCGGTAGAGGTTGAGACTCTTAAAAAAACATGAACTAAGCACAGGCCCCTTAGTTATTTTAAATTACTACGAGTATATTAAAAATTTAATTTAAATATCATATATCACAATCCATTTTAAAAAACAGAGCACTTTGAATTCTTCATAAAATCATATTCTTTCAAGCCGTTCCTTTATTGTACGAAAGAATACCGCTATATTTCACGACAATATTGGGCCAGAGATTAAAACATCCATAACATACCGAAGTAAAACGAAATAATAAAAATAGGTTTTACCGTAGCAAGTTTCTTCGGGCAGTGGAGCGGCAAGAGGAACCAATTTCTGAGCCGATGCGAACCGTTTTGTTGGAAATAGCTTTCCTTCAATCTGCATTTTCTTGCTGATTTACCAACTTTCATACAGAACGAGAACTTTCACGAGATATATTCTGAGCAGACAGAAGTTCGTGCGAGTCGACACATTAAATTATTATTAAAATTATATGATGACACTGAAAATCCAATTTCTATGCTAGCATAGAAAATTATGATTTAAAACTACAACAGAGTTCCTCTTTATAAATAAATGATGAAAGGTAATGCCTTGTGTTTGGACAGCGACTTAAATATCGTCGGCTAAAATGCTAAAACTAAATATTTGAAATTTGAAGACGATATTGATATTATACAATATAAATTATAAATGAGGTATGGTTTGAATAAAGAATTTACCAAATTCAACTCTTGTGAAAGAGGTTGACATAAATTTGTATAAGAAGTAATAATTGATATTTGAAATTTGTTGAAATATATATTTAGGCTATTTTTGTTTAATTTAAACGCCTAAAGATTGGTGACAGAATAAGAATAAGTAAGTAAGTATTGGGATTGAAAAATTTATAAGTCTCTAATGGAGAGGATAGCCACCTCGGTATAAAATCACTGTGAGACGTCGTGCCTCCATGGGTGTTAGGAGCGCAACCTCAAAGTAATTGTGTATGGGGTACAAAACAACCTCATGATGCTGGGTTTGGTGGCAGCCAGCTTTTTTACCCGGAAGGGAGCTTTGCTCAATAGTTTTAGCATCAGAGCGTCGTGAAAAGTCTTCGTCAATTGAGAGAGCCATGCCAAATAACGACACTATTAAACAATTTTAAACAATAAATTAAAAGTATATTAAATTGCAGCAGCATTTACTGGCGGGCCAATAGAAAACTATATGAAAATTCCACTAATAGCTGTTACTGAATTATCATAAAATAGGGCTTAATTAATACATGTATCGTATTAAGGATGTTTGAAATTCTGAAGAAATACAATAATATATTTTTTATTTAACTAACAGTATATTTATTTACAATAAAGGAAATTACAAATATACTTAATTATATACACAAAACAAATGTACTCAATTATTACTGTACAAGTCATATCCGCGTGTACAGTTAATTAGTTATGAGGATATGATGATGATATTAATATATGAAAGTTATCTATGAATTTAATACAGTAAAATGTATGAGAATAAAAGTAGATATAGCATCAGCAGCGAGACAGTCCGCAATTAAAATATAAAAAGAGAATCACTATTTTAACTAAAAAGTACACTGCCTTCAGAATCCGTTTTAAATTATTATTTCTTTAATTTTATTTATAATAAAAGAAAAAATAGAATTTCGTTGTCTGAAGAAAAATACATAAAATATTTTAATACTTACTAATTAAACTCATTCTAAGAAAGAAATAAATGTATGTAAACAATATTTAAACACAACAATTTCAATGCAGTAGACTTCATATCCTTAGAAAATATTCATACAAAGTTTTAGACGAGTGACATGACGGATGCAAGATGACACCATAATCATTTTGGTAACATGTGAAAAAATGTTCATAGTAAATAAACTAAGTATTTAGTATCAAAATGACTCAAAAATTAATAGATATTTTTTTTCACTTGCGGGTAAAGTAGCAGCTCAGCTTAGCTCAATTGACCGCAATGGCACCTATTTAATCTATGGGAAGGCAGGGTCTATTTGAAGTTGGATTTATAATACACCCATGCCATGTAAAATCCTATGCAGTCAGTATATTAAAGCACGTTTATATGCAGTGTATACTATACCTATAGTTTGTACATATCTACTACGTACATAGCTAGTTTTTAGACAGCCTTATTAACACTATCTGTAAAAGTCTGTTAAAGTTAAGTGTACAACAATATACACAATATATTTTTTTTTAGATTTTTTGTTAGTAAATATATTTTCCTGACATATCATACAGTGGTGGCTGTACATTGTGCTTTATTATGTAACTACTAAGCAATCTTATTATAAACCTCTTATTCGATTGATTAGATTTAACTACATTTATAGTTGGACCTATATACAGTTGATTGATATAGATATTTAAATTACATACATTAGGTTAACTGGAACTATTCTCTAAACGGATAATATTTCATATTCATTGTGATCTTCCTAAGTAATCATCACCATAACAAAATAGAAAATGATTTTTTTTGAAAATAAGCTGAAAGCAAAAATACTGCTGGAAGCAACTATTTTAAATTATAATAATAAACAAAATATTTAAATATATTTATATGTGTAAAGAAAATATTTTCATATCATAGTGTTGGTAACTTTCTATATGAGCTGCAAGTAGGGTTTTTACTTTTTAAACTAAAAAGGCGACCTAACATGAAACTTGTGCTTAACTGTAAACTCCTTCAACGCAGTATTTTTGTTTCACTAAAGTATTTTAAAATATTACTTTCTTAATATAAAATATAGGTATGTAGTACAAAATTTGATATTAAGGGACTAAATTATCTATATACATATAATAAAATTGGAACTAAGCCGAATCTGTACATTAAATATTTTTTGGAAAATCTTATTGAAATAGATATTGTTATTGAAGCAGAGGCCGAATCTATAGTTTTTAGAATTTTTGTCTGTCTGTCTCTCTGTCTGTCTGTCTGCTACCGCATCACGGAAAAATTATTTTCAGGGATTTTGATGAAATTTGGTATGATAATAGCTGGTTATGCGGGTCAACATATATATATATATATATATATATATATATATATATATATATATGTCCTTTTTACTGCCTGAAAATATCTCATATCTGAGAAATCTATACAAAACGTTAAAACGTAAGTAGGGACGAACCCGAGCGTAGCAAGGGTGAGTCGGTAGTTGGTGATAAATAAATCTATACGACGGTAAAAATTATACCCGAGGCGCATTGAGATCATAATTTATTTATATCTTTAATAAGAACATTTACAGGCTTCTCAAAAAAATATTTCATTAAGGAAAATATAGAAATGAAAGGTAAAAGAGACACGGACTTAGCTTCTAACGTAAACTTAACAGAACAGACTAAGAAAATTATATTGTAACGGAGGGTGAATGTTCAATGTATTCGCTTGATTCCCTTGGCACATTTTTATTATATTAACAGATTTCTTACAAGTAATCATTAAATATGAAGACTCAAATTCTATTATTGAGTAGTCATCACTTTTTTGGAACCCGCTTAATAGATAAAAATAATAATTTACATTTTAACAGAGGAATCAAAAAATCAGTTTAATTAAAAATACCTTTCATTTTTCTAAATACCTTTTTTAATAGTCATATTAATTAAATTTTCTAACATATTTTATTATTCTATCACTTTAATTTATAAAATCTGAAAGATTTTGAAGATATCGAGATATGGATGTTCGTGACTCAATCATGCGTAAACCGTTGAACGAATTTTGATGAATTTTGGAACATGAATAGACCATATTCTGTACTAACAAAAGATTTTTATCTAGCAACGCGCTCTCGTGCGATAATAGGTGATACTTATCAAGTTAAAGTAAAAGCATTAATAATAAAAAAAACACAATATACGTAGGCAAAATCAAGTTTGGAAATTATTTCAACATTAATAACAATAATTATTTACTTTATATCAATTAATTATTACAAACGTGGCCATTAGTGTGGCTAACAACGACCTAGTCGAACAAAGCCAGTGGTACCAAATATATATTCTCACCTCTTAAATTAGATCCTGATCCATGGAGAACGATCTTCTACGAATTAGGACGATTAGCGTTAAACGCAACGATGTGGTGACGATATTCTAATACTAGGGACATATGTATGGTTTACAATGCACCAGTGAATTAACTAATAATATGTAAGCCCGGGTAATCTTCTATAGTATAAGATGAATTAAATATCTAAAATATTATTATAATAAAAAAAAATTGAATTAAGTAGAACTTAATTATCTATAGATACTAAAATTTTGACTTTCCAAAGAGCTAAGCAAAACCAAGACACAATCACTTTTCTTACCTAATTAAGACTTTGATGTTTTCCAAAGACTTACGCCATGTGTGGTTTTAATAAGCTTACAATTAAGTACCTCCTTCGTAGGAAAGTTGTTGTTTCATCTGTTTATGTTATATCATAATGAATCAATTATAACTATTTTAAGTCAGAATTATCGTAAATCTAATTAGAAACATTCATTATTGACATAATACGATTAAATACTATTTATAATTATTGTAAAACTACAAGAAAAAACTAAAAAGGTAGGTTTAATACAAACTTTCATCCCCTAGTTTACCTACCCCCTTATAGGATGAATTTCGAAAAATGCTAAAACACGTATTTGTTAAATTATATTAAAGAGCATTAATACCAAGTTTAAAGTAATTCTGATCGTAAATATTTTTTTGGGTGGTATTATAACGTATTTTCACGTGGGAACGAAATAATCTCCCGCGTTAAAAAGTAGCCTATGTACCTCCAACTATTTCCACACGAAAAATCACGCCAATCCGTCACTCTGTTTCTATGTGAAAGAAGGACAAGTAAACAAAGAATCAAACAAACAAACAAAAAACAAACAAACAAACAAACAAACAAACAAACAAACAAACAAACAAACAAACAAACAAACAAACAAACAAACAAACAAACAAACAAACAAACAAACAAACAAACAAACAAATACACTTTCACGTTTATAATATTAGTATGGACTTATGTCAAGAAATCTGTCATTTCTGCATTATTAATATGAATGACATTTTGTTAATTAGTAAATTTACTTTAGCACTAGTTTTAATGCAGAAGAAAACTAATGTTTTTAAATACATGCTTGACTAAATAATAGTTGGTTATTATGAGGCGGAATTCCACTAACAATTAAAGATGTTCTTAGGTCAGATGGCTTGCAAAATGCAATGGTTGGTATTAAAAATAACTCTGATGCATATGAGTAAAACTGCTTAAATTATGTAAAATATATATAAATGACCATATTATATACATATTTTATAGTATAAAATATAAATGAATCATAGCATTTAGCTGTTACAGCAATAGCGTTTATATCTTTTTAAACTTTTTACCAGATGAGAGATGAGAGAAATCTTAACTATATATTATAATAGTTCTCTTCTGTAACGAGACATCTTGGAAAGTTAGATTTATTGGTATTTTAAACATTCACTGGGTAACATTGTTAGGTTACAACTAGCAATTATTTTAAGCGCATCCATTGCTACAAAACTTCGTTAGAGAGACACTGGTGGTCGTAACAAACGTCGTTATCCTACATTTTGGGGTCAACAGACGAAGCGGCATCGGCGCGACACTGAGGCGGCAGCCCGCCAGCTCACTTCAAGCTATTACTTGATCAAAGCGAACTGCTCACAAAAAACTCAATTGTTCATAAATTTTCATGTCTTCCTTATATGTAATAGTAAGATGAACTAAAAAGGCTTAAGGCGCAAAAAGTTCTACCGTAGTAAATATTGAAACGTTACTCCGAGTTCGACCCTTCAAAAATGTTTTAGGGGGCAAAGAATGCTTTATATATATATATATATAATCCTTTAATTTGTAAATTAACGAATTTGTGTAAAAGTAACTTATTTTAGACTATATTATATATCTGTGACTGTATAGTTTCTTGGATTTGCAAAAAATATGTTTTAAATAATGTATATGTAAGATTGTAGATTTTTTCCAAATATTTTGAAAATTTGTGAGCAAAATTAGTTGAGAAAATATTTGGATTTACGCAAGCTGATAACTACAATGTTTTGCTACTTCGATAAGAGCACTTGGGAACGGTTGAAGCAGTTACACTTAAGAAGAGCATTATTGCTTACACTGAGAATATCTTCATCTAGAGCATTTGTTAAAATACAACAATAATGGTGTAATACTTTCTTAGATTTACGCGAATGTTTGACATTATTAAATAAAACTATCTTTTCGGATATTTCGCGGATTTATTTTGATTTTTGGTTCCCGACGTTTCGAATGCTTTACAGCATCCATGGTCACGGAAGAGACTGAGGTGTTACATGTCTTGAAGGTATAGTTGTTACAGACAGCCTACCCACAATTAACAAAATGAAAATTGCACCAATTACATTACAATATTTTAATTTTAAACATTTTTATAATTTTAATTATAATTGAATATGGAAAATTATTTATGTAATTTTTGCTATTATTTTTTTTATATAATTATTACAATTTTAAATATAGATTACTAATTAATATTTTTTTGCTAAATAACAGCAAACGAATAATTTCGCATTAATATTGAAATATTTGTAGATATAAATAACAACCCTTAACCCTCCTAGGTAATCCCTCTTACTATTGGTGAAAACCGTATGAGAACTCGTACAGTAGTTTCTGGGATTAGCCCGAACAAACACGAACACTGCGTGGTAAGGAACTTTTCTATATAATATGTAGTGATGATCAATTTTTAATAATATTTTGTTTAAATTCATATAAATTCATCCCTCAACGACCGCGGACACGCCAGCGGTACAGTTAACAATAGATTTCTTAGAAATTTAATTAATTTCTTAGAAATTTACCTGGAGGTGTTTAACAATTTTTATAAATTTTGTTTTATTTGTTCCATCAATTTAAAGTTACTATTACCAATTAAAAAAACATTAAAAAATCATACATCCATACTATAGTATTATAAATGTAAATGTACCTATGTTTGTTTGTTTGCTTGTCCTGCTTTCACGTCAAAACGGAGTGACGGATTGGCGTGATTTGTGTGAGTGACATAGGCTTCTTTTTACCGCGGGAGATTATCTCATACCTGCGGGAAAACACGCTTTAATACAACCCAAAAAAAATATTTATCATCAAAATTACTTGAAACTTCATTTTAATGCTCTTCAATACAATTAAATAAATACGTGTTTTAGCATTTTTCAAAATTCATCCCATAAGGGGGTAAAATAGGAGATGGAAGTTTGTATGAAAACTACCTTTTTTTATTATTTTTTTGTAGTTTTAGCGCGAGCGAAGCCGGGGTTCTGCTAGTATAATATAACTGCTTTATATTTTTTATCTCTAAATATCTAATTTAGGATAACAGCTTTCATGTTTGATTCCTATAAAGAGCAAAATATTGTATTAGACATAAAGATTTCTATGTATTGTTATACGGTATTGGCTAAAGAACCAGATTCCTTCAATTTATATCAAAACAAATAATTGCAGAGCATTATACTCGATAAATTTCAGCATAGTTTATTATTCAGATTGTGCATATTTGACAGAGAGCCATCTCGAAAGGCGGATCGCTCGACGGTTATTCGTCTTTTGTCTTATTTTATTATACCATTATTCGGTGCCGGCTATAAAGGCTAGCGAGACAGTTTGTCTGCTTGTTCCCGGTTTTCTCGCCCTTGTTTATCTGGTTGGGGTAGTTAGCGCGGAGTAGCGACTCGCGCCCCGCGGCAGTGCTTCCGCAGACCGCCTAGCGATGGCACGCGTGCATTCTGCCCTGTCTAATATTACGTGCGCTCATGAAAAACATAGGTGAACTTCTTCGGCTACGTACATAAGTTATATAAATTCATATAAACAATGACTCTTTTTATACATTTGTACTGTGTGATATGGATAACGCTACTGACAGTCTGCTGCAGTACGACAGGTGAGTAGAGAATGCAATTAGCATTTTTATTGAGTTCATCGGTTCACTTGTTAAAAAGTTTTTTATTGATTGGAAAAATATAAATAATTATGTTCTGTTGTCATGTCCTATTGGTTCATAGTTCATTGAAGTTTATTTGTGTGAAAAAAATTAAGTTTTCTTCAAAATGTACGATGTATATTTATTTGGATTATGTAATATGCAATATTATTTATTTGTAGAGTGTAAGAAGGTAGTATAAGTAACAAAATATACTAAAAATATTTAAATATATTATATTAATTTACTTTTAACAAGAAAGCTTTTAAAATATATATATTTTACTTATTAAAATTCACTTTATTCACTTGTAATTTAAATTGTTTTTTCCAGTAGTATGAAACATAAAAAAGGAAATTTTCCAATATTTCTTAAAATACAAACGTAATTAGTGAAATTTAAAAGCAACACTATTACGATACTGAAAATATTTTTGCATCGCATATACCAACATACTTTATAAATTCAATCATTTATTTTTTATACGAGTATAATATGATCGAATCATATTAAATAATTACAGTAAGAAGCTATTGCCGTCCATATGAAATAAAATTCTATGACAAAATTTAAGGTTAAATTAGAACTCAAATCAATATTTAATAAAATAACAATTACATTTATCGCCCTAACAATACTCGGTATTTCTACAGTCCTCAGCATTCGAGTCAAGCCAGTGTTTTAATTAGGGACCACGAAATTTAATTTAATAAACATTACGACGGCGAATAAAGGTGGTCTAAATTATAACTCCGAGATGACGACTCTACTCAAGAAAAGGAGAATTGCTTGAAAGTAAGATTTATTCAGAGGGTTCAAGATAAGAAGCTCTTGTATTTCTTTAATATAATTCAGTTGACAAGGGGAAGAATCACAAACAAAACGGACAGGGGTCGATCTCTGAGTCATTCGCGGATATCCGTTGGCATCTCGGCAGTGACAGATATGGATGTGTTTTATTATTGCAATAAATAAAGTAAAGCTGAGTAATCCGATTTAATGTACATAAGAATAATAAATTTGATTAATCATCTTTTGGATTTTATCTTAATAAATTTTTCCTTTATCCGCTAGTTACAAATTATATTTGGATAATTTATTACAATTCTTAACAAATACTAATAATCCTACAACGGCGAACCTAACAGTATTTTATTAATAATTAGCAACCCGGCCTCGTTCTACAAAAGTTCTAAATAGGCGTGTAATATTTGGTAGTAAATTTTTGTAATATCCTAATATTCTACGCAAACCGTAGAATGTGTTAGAAAGAGGTAGCCTATCTCCATGCAAAATATCCAGTAGATTCATTGCTCTGTAGCTGTTAGAAAGAAGGGCACAAAAACGATAACAAAAAATAATATAGCTATATTTTTACATTTGTAATATTATCAAGAGCAAGGATTATGTACTCCACTGATTAAATATAGCCTAACAGTCCTACCAGACGCTACAAGGGGCAATAAGTTGTATTATACTGTGATAACTTGTTTTGTATTAAATTGTATAAAAATTTTAACGAGATTCTTTGATGTTATTATTTTATTCTAAATCTAATCAGACAGCGAGATAAAGTTCTATTAAAAAATTAATGAATTTATGAATATTTATTTTGTGCATTGATATTTTATTATTAGATGTAAACCAAAATGAAATGTTTTTTTAGATATAATGTAATCTATACATATAATAAAACTCTAATTGAGTCAAATCTGCACATAAAATGTTTGTTTGGAAAATCTTATTAAAATAGTTATTACTTACACATCGATAGATAGGCCGAATTTATAGTTTTTAGAAATTTTATCTGTCTGTCTGTCTGGGAACGAAACGCATTACGACAAAACCACTGGATTAATTTTAATGAAATTAGGTGAAGATAGCAGGTTATCCGGGTCAACATATAGGATACTTTTTACTGCAGGAAAATATCTCATCTCAAAGAAATCTATGTTAAACTTTAAACAACTACGCGAATCGCTAGTAATATATAATTTTACATATTCTAAGTCTACGTAATTTATACGAAATGTAAGAAATGTATATGAAAAATATTTGCTAAAGATAATATCTTAAAGGATATAATATTCTTATATCCTTTAAGATAGAAGTCCCTACATCCTATCTTGCATGTTTATCCCTACTACATAAATTAGGATAGGATGCTTTTATGTTGTTCATTTAACATGACAGAATAATTCGAGTACCTCTTTGGATTAGTGACTAACATGCACAGCTACAAGGTTTGTGTCCCACGTCGAGAAAATTATTATCTACTGTGATTTTCTGTCACGAAATACTCTGTAGTGACATGAAGTTAGGAACTTAGCTGTGTTTATACCCTCGTGCATGTATAGTATGTAAAGTTGTCGGTCCTGCGACAGAACAACAGGAGAAAATGCGCTTGCGTCTGCGCATGTGCTTGTGCAATGTGCTTTATTATATGTCCGGCACAGTTGGCTAGTATCAGTAAAATTGACTGCGTTATTTGCGTTAATTGAAAGTCTTATGGTAACGTTATATAACATACCTTAACTGCCTCGGTGGTGTAGTGGCTACCATGTACGGCTGCACACCCGGAGGTCCTGGGTTCGAGTCCCGGGTCGGGCCAAGTTTAGTTATTGAGTCTTCCTGCATAGTAAGTCTCAGTAACAGCCCGGAGTTGGGAAGTTGGCGGTGTTTCACCCCCGTGCCTCGGAGAGCACGTAAAGCCTTCGGTCCTGCGCCTTAACTCTCACCGGTCGTGTCGAGTGGTCGTCCCACCGGAGTATGAGAGTGATAGGAATAGTGTGTACCTGCCAAATCCACCACAGCCTGAACTCCATTATGGTCCATCGTTCTTATCTGTGTTGGGAGCATGCGCTGACGAACTTTCAGCCTTTATAAAATGACGAAGGTCTGGCGTTCACGGGCTCTCCTTCTATAAGCTATTTTTATCTCGAAAAAATATACGGTTTCCATGAGATAGATTTAGTTTTGTATTTCTAAATGCAAACCCGAGCGAAGCGAAAACCATAAATTTTGCTTAATTGATCAATACGTAATGTCAAATGTGTTAGGTGTTCTTACTGTAAGCACTAAGGATTTTTTTTTAAGCAAAATTCATTCCTGAATTTTTAGCAAATACATTGCATTGCATAGCAATACATACAGAAATTGGAAATGATGAAAAATATAATCGGTATTGAAGTACACAAATTTGTGTACGTATCGGGTATGGTCATTCAAGACGTTCTTTTAAAGCTGTACATCGACTTCGTTTTGCAAAACAAGTTTGGAAACAAGTAAATTGTACGTTTTGTTGCTTTGCATAAACCAAAACTTTTCTAAATTACTTTTAAGGTTTCGCAACTTTTTCCATAAAGTCTAATCAACCTAAAGAAAAAAAAATGGTTTCTGTTTGTATACAATAAAACAAATACTTATAATAAATTAATTTTTTCAATACATTTAATATTCGCATTTTTTAATAATTTTTCTACATGATGATGATGATGTTCTCCTAGCCGATTCCGGCCACGGCGGCCAATCTCAATGAGATTAGCCAACTGCGCAGGAGATATTATAGTGCTCAAGTGTACGCGCAGACACAAGTGCACTCTCTATTCCTATCACTCTTATACTCCGGTGGGACGACCACTCGACACGACCGGTGAGAGTTAAGGCGCAGGACCGACAGCTTTACGTGCTCTCCGAGGCACGGGGGTGAAACACCGCCAACTTCCCAACTCCGGGCTGTTACTGAGACTTACTTTACAGGAATACTCAATAACTAAACTTGGCCCGACCCGGGACTCGAATCCAGGACCTCCGGGTGTGCAGCCGTACATGCTAGCCACTACACCACCGAGGCAGTTTTTTTACATAATACTACAGTAAATGTTAAATATACAAGCTAAAAAATTATTTTGTTTTCTTATGTCGTGACTCGTAACTCGTGTTATACATTTTAAATAGTGATATCGCTTTAAATATAAGACGACTAGTCTTAGCAACTTGCTACTTCACTTCGCACTCGAAATATACTAAGCAATATGCGACGAAAAGCTTTCTATTTATTATTAAGCTCTGTTTTTAAAAGAAATAATTTCTAGCTTTTGTGTTATAGGCATATGAAACATATTCAACCTTTAAATTATATAAACATAAAAGTATTTTTAAAGTTATACTTCTTTTGGAACTTTTGGAAAAAAATATGAGAGTAAAATTTTACGATGCACGCGCACACCGACAGCCAAAAAGCGACATAATGAAGTTAGCTGCATTCCTTTTACAAACAGAGAGTTGTGGTGGGGGGATGAAATCTTTACCTATTTTGGTTCTGTTATAATAAAATTTTGAGTCGAATCTGTACATTAAATATTTTTTGGGAAATCTATAGAAATAGTCATTAATATCGATACAGAGGCCGAGTCTATAGTTTTTAGAATTTTTGTCGGTCTTTCTATATGTCTGTCTGTCTAGGAACGCATCACGAGAAAACCACTGGAGAGATTTTGATGAAATTTTGTATAATGATAGCTGGTTATCCGGGTCAACATATAGAAAACTTTTTTCTACGGGAAAGTATCTCATCTCTGAGAAATCTATACAAAGCGTCAAAACGTACCAAGGGAAGAAATGAGTCGCTAGTATACTATAAAATTCAGGCAGTTATCTATGCGTAAAATTCCTACACACGATTTTGCATATTATGATTTTCATTTTAGTTTGTGTTAAACTTGTACAGTCTGCATGGCTTCATTTCGTATACCTATTAGGAATATTACTATACACTACCAAGATATAAGGTAGAACTTGTTATTTCCAGTCACACTAGACCTAAGCAGAAAATAGCGACCTATCCTCACTTCGCTAGAGGGTGCTCCCATTACCTATGTATTATTCCATCTATCTCTGTGTGTGTATTTGTATTATCTAATTGTGCCCAGAAATTTTAGCGTAAAAGAGTAACAAATATA